ACCCACCCACCTATCTATCCACCCATCCGTCTACCCCTTCATAGGTATCTACTGATTACCCACTATGTCTCAGACACTGTACTTGACCAAAGTTAGCAATTACACAAATGCATGCTTAAAATGGTCTTTCTTCCTGGGTAGGTGGAAGAATGCCTAACACGCACTATCATGAAAAATTGGCTGAAGACACGAATGAGCTCACAGTTTATTAGGAGGAATGAGACCCGAGTCAAAAATAACTCCAGCATAAGGCAGAGTGTCCTAAAGAGCTCCAGAGAGCGGGTGAGTTCTAAGGAGGGAGACAGCCCTTCGGCTGAAGAAATCAGGGAAGCCTTCACAGAAGAAGAGGTTTTACCTGAGCTGGCCTTTACAGGACAGGTTGGATTGTAACAGCAGATATGGTGGGGAAAGGAACTCCAGAGGGGACGGCGTGAACAAAGTCCTGGGGTAGGAAAGTATGACTTCTGGGCGTGAAGAGACGTCTAACTTGGTCAGAGCACAAGTTACATATTAGGGAAAAACTCCTTGGATGGTAGGCTGCATTGGAGAACAAACACTAAAATATATACACAAAAGAGTTGGGAGAACCTGATGACCGCGGCTGCCCTACAAAGTGGAGCCAGGTGACCGGGGACAGGATGGGGAGCAGACTTACTTTCCCATGCCACTTCCCGTTGAGTGCCCGAATTTCGTACGTATTCATATGGATAAATGTGAAATAAAATGTCTGCGGGCACTGGCACAGGGCAGAGGGGGAGCCCAGTGCTATTTGTCATTGAGGACACAAGACTGGCCTTATACAAAGCCTTATAGTTCCCAACGACCCATCCAGCTCACACATCTTCTCTGCCTCCTGCAGACTTTGTCTCTTATCCTCTATGTCAGTGGTCGGCAAACTCATTAGTCAGCAGAGCCAAATATCAACAGTACAATGATTGAAATTTCTTTTGAGAGCCAAATTTTTTAAACTTAAACTATATAGGTAGGTACATTGTTATTAACTTAATTAGGGTACTCCTAAGCTGGCCTTTGCTAAAAACGTCCTCAATCTGATTGAGGTACATTCGCTGAGGTCGACCCCTTCCAACTTTCCCATCCACACTCCTCTGGTATACTTGTTTCGTCTATCTCCTTTCGTTCATCCTCTCTATATGTCCAAACCATCTCAACATACCTTTCTCAATCCTCGATACTACATCTTCTTTCACTCCACACGTTCCCTAAAATTAACTTAATAAACTTTACTTAAAGTTTTAAGTCAACTTCGCACTGTATGTGCGTGCCCGCACGTGGTATTTTGTGGAAGAGCCACACTCAAGGGTCCAAAGAGCCACCTGTGGCTCTCGAGCCACGGTTTGCCGACCACTGCCCTAGGGAATCTTCCTAAGGTGAATTACTAAGTGAAGCAAGGGTATGTTAACTCAAAAATAAAAAGACATCTAGGGGTGAGAGGCAACAAGCATTTATTTGAGATCAACACGAATAGCGATCCGGGAAGCGCGGGTTCAGGGAGAAGCCCAAACAGTGTTCCGAGGAGGAGCCAGAGGGGACGGTGTTATGAGAAAGGGCAGGTTGACAGTGACATCCATAGAAGAAGGCGTTGTTATGGGTGCACGTAACATGACATGGTGATGCTAATTCTAAACATGGCTTAAATTTCAGTCCCGTAGTCACAATAGCCACCTCCTTGTTATCTTTGCAAACAGTTCTTTGGGACACAAGGTTGCCCCTAGGCCCAGTGCAAAGGTTATTTTGCCCTGTTTTAATATTCTAAATATTCGAGGCATAGGATGTGCACAGCGGTTCCTCTGGGACGGCAGCTCCAGGGCCATTTAAAGTGGTTCCGTTGATATTATTTTTATTCACAGCAGGAACAGGGCAGGAAGGGGCATGGAGGGACTGCAGGGTGGCATCAGGTGGGCCAGGCTCACAGTGACAACGGGGGGCGGGGGAGAGCGGATGGTGTAGAGGGGACGGACAAAGAGGGGACCGCTCAGGAGGAGAGGACTGAGGGCCTTGGTCTTCTCTGTGCCCTTGGTCACCACCTGAACCTGCAGGGGTGACACTGGACCCCTGAAGTGGACCAGAGACCAGGAAACCACACACCAGCTCCTGCCCACGGAGACCCCTTTAAGTTCTCTGAGACGCTCAGGGTTTGTAATACAGAAAATCACAAGGCCTGCCTCCCCGTTCGGCTCTGACCACCTGTCTAAAGAGGAGCCCCTCCCCTGCCAATTTCCTGTCCTGTGCCACCCCGAGGCCATGCCCCTCAGGACTCTTACTCTTGAAGCAATGACCTGCCCTCCCAGCTTGCTTGGGACTGAGGGGTTCCAGGGCCAGGGGACCCGGGACAGTTCCCGCACCTGAGACCAGGTGGCCATGGTTCTCTGAGGCGTGTTCTCTGATTACTTGCGTCCTGTCTATCTCCTCCACCAGGCGGTCAGCTCTCTGAGGGGACAGACTTCCCGTCTCCTCATGACGTGTCTAGTGTGGGCTGGGCTTGTGGATGGGGAGGGAGTGACAGGGTCGTGTTGTGCCTTGGGGTGGTGCAGTCTGTGGGCAACGCCCTTCTTAATTGGCTTCAGACTCTCCTCTGAGATCATTTCCCTTTTTATGACGAGGCGGCAAGTTCCTGTCCATCATAGGAGAAGCCCAGGACTTTGTACCCCTGTCAAGAGGTGAAAAAGCAGGAAGAGAGTTCAAGGAGAAGGCGGGCGGGTTCCCGTTGGGGCCTTTGGTGGAGGAGGTGGAGCACAAGTCCAGCCCCACAGGTGAGCTTGCCTGCCAGTCCAGGTGAGGGGCGGGGTGTGCGGGCCAGGCTGAGCTGGGGGACCAGGAAGAGGAGCCCTCAGTGCACCTCGGGGCCAGCTCTCAGGAGTCAGCCCACACCTGTCTGGGTGCTGCCGGTTCCCGGCTGGGCTTGAGGCGACGAGGCAGCAGGACATGGCGGGGACGACGCGGCCTGTGCTGTGGGTGCTCTGTGGGGGTGAGTAGGCCCTTCCCTGCCCAGTGCCCAGGTGGGCGAGTCTCCCCGGGAGGCCCTGCTGGGCAGAATGACACGTTCTGTTGTTCAGGTGGCGGGTTCCGGTCCAGAACCCATAATCAGAATGCTTTTTCATTCGAATATTAGTAAATAGGATCCCAGCCCTTTTCTGAAATGAAGAATTCGCAAATTCTCAGACACCGTATTTTCTGATCTCAAATCAGAATAGAGGGTTGGACACAGGATCTGACCTTTGGGACAAAGTGTTTGAAATTGAGTTTGTCCTGGAAAATCCAGGATCTATGGATTTAGACATGTTCACTACTTGAGATTTTAACCTTTGCCTTAAGACCAGAGAAAAAGTCAATGTGAAGAGTGTTAACATCTGCACCACATACAGGGAAACTGAGGCAGAAAGACAATTCAACTGACCCAATATCATTCCCAGAGCAAAAGAAGACCCAACCCTTCAACAAGAATGACAAACAAAGGCGAGGCAGGCCCTTCCCAAGGCCCCAGCTCCTCAGCCTCTGATTCTCTGCTCACCCAGAACTCAGAAGACAGGGCCCCACAAAATCGGAATCAGACAGCTGTCGTCACGCAGCTGCGTCCCAGCCACATCGCTGTGTGAGACCGTGGAGTCCCTAGAGTTAGGATGGAGGAAAGCTTGGCGCTAGGGTCCTGGGCCTGGCGGGAATGGGAATGGGAAGGGAAGGTGAGAGATGGGGCTGGGAATTTTAGGAGTAGATTTCACTCGGTGTATTTGGCAACACTGAGAAATCCCATCAGCCTGCAGCGTAGAAGCAATTGCCGGCTCCAGGGAGCTGGGAAGAAAGGAGGGAGGCGAAGGGTCATCGCAGGAAGCACAGAGTCCCAAGCCCTAGGCCTGGAGCCAAGGAGGCTCGACGAGGCAGAGCTCACCTTTCAGCTGTGTGCCTGGCTGGTTTGGCTCAGACTGAAGGGTCCCGAGTTTGGTTCTAGTTAAGGGCACAAACCTCAACTGCAGACTTGATATTCAGGGAAAGTGCAGGAGGCAATCAATTGATGTGTCTCTCCCACATCGATGTTTCTGTCTCTGTTTCTCCCCCTTCCTTCCACTCCCTCTAAAAGTCAACAACAAAAAATAATCAGCTTGTACAGGCAAGCCCCAGAACCCACCAGCCATGCCTAGACCATCCTCCCAGACCCCCAGGCTCCCACCTTCCCCACCTCTCCACTCCTGGAGGGCGGCCTGGTTCTGGGGAAGGGCTGGGTCGAGCTTGGAGATAGATCTGGGAAAGACCGATTCGCTCAAGCCCAGGCCGCCAGGTGGTCCATCTGACTGGGGCCCGAGGGGCCTGGTCACCAGGTTACAGGGCCTGGGCCGCTCCTTCACGCAGACAGCTCTTTACTGGGCACACTTTGTGCGGGCACCGACGGGGTGAGGCTCAGCTGGCAGACCCAGGTGGGAATGGGCGGGGGCTGAAGGGAAGCGACCATCCTGCCCAGCTGGGCTGTGATGCCCGCCTTCCCCTCCCCCATCCACTGCAACCCATGCCTGAATGAAAAGAAAGTTGATTTGCTTAGGAAATGACCTCAAAACAAAATGCTCACCCAGCGTAGAACGGAAATCGGCCCTAGCCCTGCGTTGCCTGGGGGGGCCCCCCCCCCCCCCCCCCCCCCCCCCCGTGAGGAGGAACCCGTTCTTGGGCTTGTGTTCAGATGAAGTGTGTTTCTGCCCCCTCTCCCCCTGCCCAGGCCAGAACCCCTGCCCACCACCTGGCCTTCCTCACCAGAGGATGGGCTGGAGCCCGGGGCAGAGGACCCAGGCTGGATGGCCCCTCGGGTCCTAGGACAGTTCGTTGAGTGAAAACATTTGGGGGAGAAATAGCCATTGCCACGTGCATGTGAGCGACGAAGGCCTTCGAAGGTCAAACCTAAGAGCAGCCAGGTGGCCCTCCACCATCCTCAGGAGAGGACGCCGAGGAAGGAGCAGGGAGATTGGGGAGGGCTGCTGGAGGAGGCAGAGTTCTGCATCTGAACTTGCCCAGTCATATCGTAGATCTTGCTGATGTCCTGGGCAGAGTAACTCCACGCTGATAACAGGCCCAGCCCCTCAGACTGCGGGAGGGAGAAGGTATCACATCAGATAACGTGGGGACAAAACAGAAGGCAGTGCATTTAGAGAATTTAAAAACAACACTGACAGAGACCAGCCGTGGGCCTGACAGTTCTAACGTCAGTGACAAACACTTCTTCCTCCCAGGGCTCCCACGGGGCCCAGCCACCCTCTTCCTTCGCTCACTTTAGTGTGGGCAAAGTTCACCTCGATACACCTCCACTTCCTAACCTGTGAAATGGGCAGGCTAATCTCAAAGGTGCAGAATGCTCACTGCTCCTCCCGGAGGTGCTGCCGGATATTCAGAGTTCGTAGGTGCAGAGATCTAGGAAGAGTGCCTGGCACCAGGAGCATTCAATAAATGCCTCTTATTATCAGTGTGGGCAGGTGTACATTACAGAAAATAACTAGAGTTTGGTTCCTCATCCCGGAGGGCGCTCATCTGGCAGACGTGCGCCCAGAGTCAGGATGACTGGGAGGAGCCCGGAGTTGTCGCCCCCCAGAGGCTGCTAGAGGAAACACCAACCTGAGCCCAGAACTCCAGGGATTTCTGGGTCATCAGACTCCATGAGGACTGGGCGTGGTGACAGTCCCAGCGGCAGGAAAAGAGATTCAGAGAGAGGAACCCCCCAGGAAAAACGTCCCTGAACAGTGGTGCCCAAGGCCCGGAAGTCTTTGAAGACCTGATCACACACACACACACACACACACACACGGCCCACAGCCCTGGAACTAGAGGAACCCTCCTTGAAGCAGAAGTGAGAAAAACTTGGGGAAATACTGCTTTACACAGAGAAGTAAAGGAATCCATCACCCTCAAATGCTCCAGATGAGAAATGTGTCTTTTTCTCCTCTCATCTAAACAAATGCACTGAACCAGTGGGTGCTGATCCACAATGGGTTCTGGCGGGAACCAGCTTTCTAAGTTCCTGACTTGCAGGCTGGTCCTGCCGTTCTAGAATCCTCCCCTTGGGGTCTTCGTTAGAGCACTCCCCGCCCACCCCCGCCCCCCAGCAGGGGACCTGCCCCTAAATGCCTTCCACTTGGCCACTCTGAGTGCCCGGCTCCTGTTGGTCACAGGCTCAGGTGGGTTAGTTTGACTCCCCACTGGAGTCAGAGTGCCGTGGGGACCGTACCTGGGGCACCGGACAGAAAACAAGTGGGGGCAGGGCGGGGCCCCCAGCTGGCCACACTGCAGCGGTGTGACTGCAGGGGCCCGGGGAGCAGGTGGCAGGATCTGTCTCAAAGGGCCCGGATGGAACAGTGTGCTGTTTGGACTCAGTGGTGGTGAGCCCCGAAGGGCAGAGCTATTGGGCTGGGAGGTAGAGTGAGGCTGCCCCTGGCCTTGGCGGTACTCGGGTTTTATCTCCTCCTGCCCGCCCAGGGCACCAACTGTCATCCCAGAACCCGCCTCCTCCTGCCGGCCTCCCTCCCCTCGGCCACCCAGTGCCCTGAGCTGCGTTGTCTCTGCCTGTGAGTCAGGCGGCCATAAACACCCGCAGGACCTGGGACTGCTACAAAGTTCACTGGGGACAAGCGGGCAGGGCAGGCCGCCAGCTCCCGCCCCTCCCCTGCCCAGGCTGGGTCTTTCCACCTGCTTCTCCTCTGTTGTCTCTCCCTCTGGGAGCTCCGGCCCTGGAACCCCGCTCGGGTCTCTTCACCTTCTGCCCCAGCGGGGACCGGAGAGACCCCCGCGAGGGGCATGATGGGGCCCCCTGGCTCCAGCTGGCTGCGCCCTGTGACAGGCCAGGTCCTCCCGGTGCCGCGCTGCCTGAGTGACTTACAAACCGGAGCCGGCGAGATGGTTCCAGGAGCGCGCGTGCCTGTTGCGGGACGTTTGGAAACTAAAAATGCACAAAACCCCCCAATTGCCCCGTGACCCCAGAACCCAGTCAGCTGCGACCATCCTGCGTGCGGGTCTGTGTTCTCCTAGAACCTGCTCTCTCTGCGGTGGCGGGAAGCGGTGCGGCTGTGCAGACAGGCTCACGGCTCATCCGGTCCCTCGTGTGCACATGTCCACCTTGGAACGGAATCCCTGGGGCTGTTTCAAGGCCCGGCCCCTCGGGCGGCCTTTCCTGTCCAGTCCTGGTCCCACAGCCTGCCCCCTGCCCACTCTTCACTCCCCAGCACAGGGGTGGGGAACGTCCGGCCCATGAGCCGAATAAAGCCCAAGAAATCGCTGGGTCTGGCTCTGCCAAGGCCTTAGTGGTGAATTAATTAAGCGTTTGACCAAATATAAGCAGGCTAGTTTTTAAGTTGCTAATTCTGTATGGCCCGTGAATGGTGTTATAAATATCCAAATGGCCCCTGACAGAAAAATGAATCCCCACCCCTGCCTTCACACCGGCATTGAACGCGTCATTAGGCTCCAGTGGGTGCCGGCTGGCCATGGCCTCTGACCCGTCTGGGCAGGGACTGTGACTGTGCACGAACCACTCACTCAGCGAGGTCGTCTGAGCCCTCAGCTCCGTGGAGACGCGTTGGGGTGGGAAGGAGCCCTGTCTGGGGAGGGGAGGAGGCCTGCCCCCACCCACCCTCATCCACCCGGGAAGAGTGTGCGCGGGACAGTCACCTGCCCGAGGTGGCCCTGAAAGCCAGCAAAGAAAAAGGAAACACTAGCTCGAAAGCCACCTGCCCCCCTACGCTCACGGCAGCATATTCACCGCGGCAGGATGAGAAAGCCACACAGGAGCCCGCAGAGAGGAGTGGCTGAAGGGGACGTGTACAGACACTCAGCCACGGGAAAGAAGGAAACTGCCATTGGTGGCAGCACAGATGGACCTCGAGGGCATTAGACTAAGTGAAACAAGTCAGACAGAGAAAGACAAATACGCATGATTTCACTTACATGTGAAATCTAATAAACACAAACAAAAACCCCCAAACAAACAAAAACACTCATGGA